CTTAACCAACTGAGCCACCCAGGCGCCCCAGGGAGAATGTCTTTAAGGTTTCTTCAGCAAATCTCTCAGTGTCTGGCAGCATGATAGGCGAATCCTAGGGTTTCAATAAATATTTTTGAATGGATGGATGAAATATGAAATCTCTATAGGTCCTTTCTGTGGGTGATTTTTCTTTCTAAAGTTTTCTTCTAATGTAAGTCTAATTCCTACTTATGATAAAGAGACTGTTTTTAATGTAAGCTAAAAGTTCAAATCTGGGGCCAGAGAGGGAGCCAATTAGAAGTTTTCAGTTTATCTTTTAGGGAAAAAAAAAAGAAAACATATAGCGAACCTTTTACTTCCTATTTTGTACAAGGTAGAAACAAAATCTAACTATGTTAAGCAACTAAACATAAATTTCTCGCTTCTAAAACACCTCTGAAATTGCTGAACTCCCATTTCTTGCTTTTCACCAGTAAAAATAATTAATTTAAAAAAATAACACAGCAAACCTTGACACCAAGAATGTGCAACCAGATGGTCAACCAACAACAGCATCTTATTACTTCTCCAATATTGCAGATTATAAAGTCTTCATGACAGCATGTTACCCACACATTCAGATTTCCTAAGGAGGGGGAGCAGATCTTAGAGCCCCCGCATTTTAGTAAAATAAAAGCAGTTATTTCGAAATTATCCCTTCCGAAAGCTATCGTTCTTAATCCTATGTATCACAAAATCAATGGTCAGGTGGCAAAGACACTTAAACCTTTGTCCAAATGAAATTAAAATCTCATGGTCGGACACAACTCTCAGTGAGGCTGATCCTCAGTGAGGTGCTCTCAGGTAGGCTGATCTCTTAAGTGGCTTCATTTCAATTTCTTCAGGCCACAGATAAGAGGAAAATTGGATTCGGATTAGAATGAGCACATTCTGGAGAGAACAGCAAGCGATAGATTTGCTTCCCTTCCTCTGTGATATGGCTACGACCCCATCCTCTACTGACGGTCTACCCAAAAGCCCTAAGACATCCAATCACTATTTTCTTTTTTTTTTTTT